CTCTCTCTCTCTCACTCTCTCCCTCCCTCCCTCCCTCCCTCCCTCCCCCCCCCCCCCTCTCTCTCTTTTTAATGGGCTGTCACTTGATTTGTTCCTGCAGCCCCAAGTAGCAGGCTTTTAAATCAATGCACACAGCTGTTCCTGGTTCAAGGAACTCAGCAGGTGTACTGCCCAATACGTCTGCTATCTACCCCCACACACATAACAAATACTAACAGCTTGCACACACCAGCTATTCATCATCATTATAGCCAGCCCGGTGAGGCAGTTCTTCTCAGGGTAGTCCAAAAGAAATCCACACACACACCCAATCTTACAGTAGAAATAGTCCATGGATTATTAGTCACACTTTCTAGACTTCTTAATTGAATAACCTTTGACTTTTGTGGCAGGAAAGAGGGGAGTACATAAACCCCCACACCGCAATGTTTGTGTCAAAACACAATAGGTGTACTGTGGCTGGCGAAATCAATTAGTCGTCCTCTTGCCTTGAGGGCCCACATCTGGTGTTATTTAAGCCAATGTAAGGGAAGAACAGGAGAGGCTGCAAGTTCTCATTTCAACAGGTGACAGGGAAGGAATGAAAGACAGATATATGCTACAAGTGTGGAGGCAGGGCTATAAATATTGATGGGTTTACTTCGGAGATAGAAACAAAGCTAACCCATAATGCAAAATAAATACTTTCCTGGGCTGGGCTGTCACTTGGAATGAGCAGAGACAGCAGGAGGTTAGGTTAAGAGGGAAAAGGATTTGTGAAGGATGATAGTCTGAGGAGACTCCTTAACTTGTTGTATCCACTAAGAGAGAGAAAATAGGTCAAGGATAATTTTTGAGAACAGGCCCTGGAACATGCACTTACTGTTTGAACTGTGAAGTTAATGGCAGGAAGAGGACGTGGGGATTTCTGCAATAAAAACTGGGTCACAATAAACCTTGGTTATTCCTATGCTGAATGCAGGAGAGTCCTTCAACAGGCAGAAAACACTTTTTGTTCACAAGGGCTATTCAACTTGATGATAGACGTGCAATTCTAAATCTTTCATTGTGGAGGACAGCTTTTATTTCTCCAAAAATTTGTAGGTACATCAACATAGTATGTTTTGGCTCTACCCAAGTAATTTTGGTATGGGTATTTCATCCATTGTTAGCCAATAGTTGAAAGTTTGGAAAAGCAAGACCCTTTTCTATCTTTTGCGTCTTATAAAAGTTTGAAACTTTTTGCTAGATTTTTCCCCACTCCATATACATTTGTTTACAATTTTTCTCTTGTAATTTTTTCTAGATTTGGAATTGATATCATTTGAAACTAGTAGTTTGTCTTTGGTATTGGTTTAATTTTTATAGTCAATGCTATCAATGCAGTTCTAGGCTGCATCAACAGAGGGATAGCATCAAGATCATGGGAAGTAACAGTACCACTTTATACTGCACTAGTGAGGCCACACTTGGAGTACTGCATCCTGTTCTGGTCACCACAGTACAAAAAAAAAGCTGAGCCTGTAGAAAGAGTGCACAGAAGAACAACAAAGATGATAAGAGGTCTGGGGGGGCTAAATTAGGTTGAATAGTTGTGGGAACTAGGTAAGTTTAGCATAATGAGAAGGCTTAGGGAGACATGTTAGATATTTTCCAATACTTGAAGGCCTGTCACAAAGAAGATGGCATCCATTTATTTAGCACTTGAAGGTAGGACAAGAAGCATTGGATGGAAGTTTGGCAGAGGGAGATTCAATGTGGAAATAAGGAAGAGTTTCCTGATAGCAAGAATCAATAGAACAGCTTGCTTCCTGGAAGGGTGGGTGTTCCATTGCTGGAGGTTTTCAAGAAAAGATTGGACAGCCATTCCTGCCTTGGGCAGCAGGTTAGACTAGAAGACCTTCAAGGCAGTGGTGGTATTCACATTTTTTTTACTACCGATTCTGTGGGCGTGTCTTGATGGGCGTGGCAGGGGAAGGATACTGTAAAATCTCCAGTTAGAGATAGTATTTGCCAGTTCTCCGAACTACTCAAAATGTCTGCTACCGGTTCTCCAAAACTGGTCAGAACCTGCTGAACACCACCTCTGCTTCAAGGTCCCTTCCAGCCCCATGATTCTATGATTCAGTAAGGGGTTTCATCCTACCAAGTTTTAGTAATAGCTACAATGTCATACCTACCCTCAGGTACTAAGATTTCAAGTATACCCTGTTTGTTCCTCACACTTTGAGTATTTATTTTTTTTTTGCAAATTCAGGGAAATGGTTGTATGTATAAATTCTTAAGAATTACTCTAAAAATTATAGGCTATGAGTAGGGTGTGGTTTTAGAATGCCCAATCTTTGGAGAACGGTGAGTATATGTGGAAGATAGAAAAAAGCGTAATTGGCATTTTTAAAAGCACTATTTGGTGGTGGTTCCCCCTCAGAAAATCCATTTTCTAGAATGGTTCAGATATGAGACTGAAATCCAAAGTGCCCCTGCATGCAGAGAAGAGAGGGAGTACAATTATTCCTTTACACTCTGTCTCTTTTTCTAGCAGATGACAGCCATTCAGCCCAATCCCTATTTTCTAGAACTGTGCATGAAAATAGCAGGACTTTGGAGGAAGTTTTAACTTTAGGCAAGGAGGGTGCCTTTCTGCTATTTATTCAAACAAGCAAACTTTTTTTTTTTAATCTAGGCTCGTGCAGGTGCTATGCTTATACAAAGTCTGAAGCATTTTCTCTTGATTGTGCTGGGGGAGGGCAAGGCATGCAATACACTTAAAAAGGGAGCAGGGCCTTGATCGTAACACTCACCTTAACTTTTGGGCCACCCTGTCAGATGTCCCTGTTCCTCACAAATGCTCCTTTCTCACACAGACAAAGGAAGGAAGGGAGAGCAACTTTTTTGCCATCTTCAAGGCCTTCCTAGCCCCTTCATGGACATTCCCATGTCAGTCTCTTCGCACCTGCACAACACTGATTCTTTTAGCATCTCTCTCATATGTATCTAATCATTACCCCAAAACTTCCCTTTGGAAGTGCAGTTTGGCCATCTGGAAAATAAAATAAAATGAATCACGGGCGTCATTGGTACATCTTGTGGGCATGGGAAGAAATAGCTGGTCATCAATTTGCTTCTCTTCATTACAGTCAATTATGTATCCTTAACCGCAAACTGATGCTAGGGGACTTCTGTATACAGTATGTGTCCTAAAATAAATTTGTTGGAAATTTGTCCTTGTGAAATTATTTCCAATGAAAGATATTTGTGGAAACATCTCATTTTGAAAAAGTAAGATGCCCCACTTTAACAAAAAAACACCAATTATTGAAAACTGTGTTTAAAACGTATGTGCCACACCCTTAGCTACCAGTTGCCTTCTGGAATGGATTCAGAACAGGGAGTAGGGAACCCATAATAGCAGGGACCACATGATGAGATCCACATCTCATAAATCAAGGTCAGGCTTTCTCTGAGCTTACATGCAATGGAGTGAACATGTATGAGGATTGTGTAGAGGAGATGGGCCTTAGCTGCAGGAAGAAAAAGAAAAGGAGAAAGGAGGAGTAACTTCACTGTGAGATGAGCTGGAAAGCAGAATTAAGTTGAAATTTATTTACTTCAGGAAGGGTGACACTGCTGAAGCTGATTGTTCATTTCAAACAATTCTGTACAAAACACTTTATTTTTTTTATGTTTTTATTTTGTCAAGCAATTATAAGATAACAGGTATAAGTATAAACATAGTTATGAATACATGAAATGGATACATATAAGAAAAAAAACAATAGGACAGGGACAGTAGGCACATTGGTGTGCTTATGCACACCCCCTACAGACCTCTTAGGAAAAGGGTGAGGTCAATAGTAGACAGTCTAAGGTTAAAGTTTTTGGGGTTTGGCGAAGAAACCACAGAGTCACGTAGAATATTCCAGACATTGACCACTCTGTTGCTGAAGTCGTATTTCCTACAATCAAGTTTGGTGCAGTTTACCTTGAGTTTGGATTTACTGTGTTTCTCATATAATAAGGCCAGGTCTTTTTTTTTTTTTGAGCCCCGAAAAAATGGCTAGGCCGTCTTTTCAGGGGTGACTTAATTCCCCCCCACTTGCATCTTTGGGTGGGTAGGCGGCAACGGCTTGGATGTTGACCTCGGCGTTGGTGAGGCACTTAGTATCGGGGTCAACGCAGGCAGCACCATATCCGGGTGTGCAAAAAAAATACTTCCTAACAGCAAGCCCCCCCCACCATTCCCCCCATTTCGCATGTTTTAATATAGGCCTTAATTTGGAGGGAGGGGCTTAATTTCATTTCATGCCTATAAAACATGCTGGGACTTCCTATTGGGGGAGGCCATATTGTTGGAGAAACAGGGTATTGTGTGCTCTTGTATTGTTATGGTTGAAGCTGAAGTATTCATTGACAGATAGGACATTGCAATGTATAATTTTATGTACTATACTTAGATCGAACCAAAGGTGGCGTAGTTCTAGGTTGTCTAGATCTAAAATTTCAAGTCTGGTGGCATAAGGTATTCTGCAACGAGTAGAGGAGCGGAGAACTCTTCTTGTGAAATATTTCTGGACTTTTTCAACTGTATTAATATCAGATACATAATGCGGGTTCCAGACTGATGAGCTGTATTCAAGTATTGGTCCAGCAAATGTTTTGTATGCTCTAGTTAGTAGTGTGATATTACCAGAGAAAAAGCTACGCAGGATTAGGTTAACAACTCTTAATGCCTTTTTGGCTATGTAGTTACAGTGGGCTCTAGCACTTAGACAGTATTGCATCCAGTGAATAGAAATTGCCAATCAGAGGATGAGAGATCGTTGTCTATAAGATCATAGTTGCATTTTTTGAAGATATAATTGGAGATCTCATCGTTGTGATGATTTTTGTGGGGATGTATGTTGAAACAAAAGTCAATCATGTTGTGGTCACTGTTGGAAAAGGGTTCTTTAATTTGTATTCCATAAATTGAATTCAAACTATTGCAGAAGATGACATTGAGGCAGTTGTTAAGCCTAGTATTGTTGGTTACTAGTTGTTCCAGTCCCAGATTTGTTACAGCATTGTAGGAGGTTGCATGTATGGATTCAGTTTTACATTTGTTAAGGGTCCAGTTAATATGAGGTAGATTGAAGTCACCCAGGAAGATAAAAGTGTGCAGGGAGGATGTTGCCCATGTTAGTAGTGAATTTAGCTTGTTTACATGTTCAATGTCATAATCAGGGGCTCTGTAACATAGAAAGAATTGAAATGTGATATTTAAGGACAGTTCACAGACGATGGTCTCAGGAAGAGCAAGCTCTTGGGTAACTTGGATGTTTTTTAGATGTAAGGACTTTTTATAGAAGATAGCAACACCACCTCCTCTACGGATTTCACGATCTGATCGGTAAATATGACAGTCTCTTATTGTGGTAATGGAGTCAGGGAGAGATGCGTTGAGCCATGTTTCACAGACAAATATGATGTCGAATTTAGCCGTATTTAGTAAGAGGAGAAATTCAGGTATTTTATTCACAAGGCTTCTTGCATTGAGTAGCTTGCATTTAAGGCCAGCTGTAGTTGGAATTGAGGTAGTGGGGGTATGTGTGCCTAATCTTGGGTGATGGTGGATTGGTTGAAGTAGGGTTGGATGCTGAGTTGTGAGTTGTGTGACTTTCTTTTGATACAGTCTGCATGGTAGTCAATGTACAGGTCCTTCTCTCCATTGTCTAGACATTTTTTGAGTTCTGTGCGGAGTACACGGGAGTGGACACATTGCTGTACGGTTAGGTCAGGGCGAGAATGGAGGTTCTTATGGTTGGTGTTGCTTTTGGTGAGTGAATTTATAGTATAAATGAATTTACATTTGCTTGATTCATTTTTGCAAATGACCCTGCAGAAGCGTAGGGCCATTGAGCCATCTCTGTTTTTGAACTCTGGGCAGCTAAGGAGGCTGTACTGTGATGTAATGGTGGGTAGTTTCTGCCCTTTTAGAATAAACTATTAGCAGAAAAATCAAGAATATGCTGCAAACCAACACTTGAAGGAACAGATTTTCAGATGCAGTGATGTGCCTGTAACTATAAAGATCAGAAACATGCAGGGATTTGGTTTCCCTGTGAGGCTTTATGGTACTGTTGAAAGTTGAATGCTGAAGAAGCAGGCTATAAAGAGTAAACAATTTTAAACTTTGGAGTTGGAGAAGATTTCTGAGAATACTGTGGGTAGCTGAGAAAACAGATTCTTAAACAAATCAAATGAGAGTTTTCACTCAAGATGTAAATAATGGGATCAAATTATTATATTGTGGACAACAAAGAAGGTAATAAGCAACAAATGGATAGATTCAATTAGTGCAATCATAGAAAATCCAGAATGGACAAGTTAGGCATGGTTCATCCTGGGGAAGGTCTATCTATTGAGTCATCTAAGAGTCAGCATTGATTTGATGGCACATAATCAAAAACATTTTTTAAATTAAGTTGTATTTATATGATAATTACATACTGTTGTATGTTAAAATTCATAAAGGAATTAGACTGTAACTCCTGATATTGTAATTTGTTATTATTCATACTAAACTCTTCACTATATCAATAAGATTATGTGGATAGTTCAGAATGAATGATGTTGACTAATTACATGGTTGTGGTTACTGCTCTATACTAATGGTGAGGCGGATGAATTTATGTCTGGGGGACATGTTCAAAATATCATTTTAATAGCAACATCATCATCATCAACAAATTAAACGACTCTGGGTGGCTTTTTATAGATGAAAAAAGCCTCCAGAATGTTAATTTTTTCTCCCAAACAATCATCCATTCATGTGATCTATCCATCCATCCCAGAGATAAATGATCTAAAACAGAAAGCAGTTTGTGGTGTTCTGAAGATGGAAATTTTATTTCCAGAACAGTTTTTGTACACCCATAGAACGGATGGGTTGGTATGGTCCAGGAGAAAAATAAAACATTCTAAAGTTTTCTGGAATGTTCCATTTTTAGAATAGGATGTTATCATATGCCTAATTATCTGTCATCAGAACATGAAATAATGGGCATATAATGGGCCTTCTAGTTTGCATGTCTATGGAGATTCTCAGTCATCCAGGTCATGTTGTCCCAAAGGTGCTTTTCTGAGAGGCAACTGGAGTTTCCGGTTTTTCTTTGAAGACAAAAGAAACCCCACCATCCAGTGAGAGCTGAAGAAGCTTCTTGGATGAGAAGCAAAACATCTTCAACGAAAAACCAGAAAGTCCAGTTGCCTCTTGATAAAAGCATCTTTGGGACATTCTAATTTGTACTTAGAAAAGTGCCCCATATATTGATCTCAAACTTTATCCTGCTCAAGCACTACTGTCACACATAGATCTCAAAATACATTGAGTGGTAAACAGTTGCTTCCTTTTGCAACACCAGGATATCAATATTCAGGGATATCAGTGTGTTTGAACTTGCAGATCTCTTTGAGAGCAGTTTATTGTGTATCTTTCACTTCTAGACAGTATTAAAATATTCCTGTCTTTCTATAATTCAATCTCTAAAGCTCTATTGACTTCTCCCCACCTAAATTGAGCACCCACTATGCTTTTAGATGCTATTATGATAATGATAATATTTTTTTCTACAACTTGTCATTTCAGGAGCAGTTTAAAGATCTACTCTTGAAAAAGAGCTACAACTTAATTAATATAAAACACTGCTGTTAACAGCACTTAACTGAATAGGTTTAAGAAGTCAAATATTTTTGCCACTACAAGTTCCTGAAGGGGACATTTGGGAAATGTTTCTGAATTTGCCCAGATTATTCCATCAACACTTCTTAAATGTTTTCGTATAATGGGGACCCATTATGTCCTCTTGGTTTTAAAAATATAGCAGGTGAAAGGTAAGGTCCAACCAGTTTATTGTTCCAAATAATGCCTATGGGAATTTTAAACCATTAGAAAGGATATTGTTTAATTTTTAAGAACTGCTTCAGCAGTATTAAAGTGTACTACAAAAGGCTAATATGCAGATGAGATGAGGATATACACTATTAATTTTACACTTTGTCTCATGCTACTATTTTCTTCAGGAGCTTTGACTTCTTTAATATTTCAGGATAACAATTGATCTAATTAGGGAAAAATATGAGAGGAAAAATTGCATTGTAATGGATCAGTCTTGGACTCTGTGGTATGCTGGGATTTAGTAAAGCTAAGGAAGAGCATCATGGGCATATAAGCCATGGTGGCACAGTGGTTAGAATGCAGTACAGCAGGCTACTTCTGCTGATTGCTGGCTGCAATTTGGCAGTTCAAATCTCACCAGGCTGAAGGTTGACTCAGCCTTCCATCCTTCCGAGGTGGGTAAAATGAGGACTCAGATTATTGGGGGCAATATGCTGACTCTGTAAACTGCTTAGAGAGGGCTGTAAAGCACTGTGAAGTGGTATATAAGTCTAGGTGCTATTGCTATCAGCAGAGTTTAGCCAAGAAAGCCATGTTACCTAATTATGGTAAGGCTGATGATTCTAAGGAAAGATTTACAACAGTAAATCGCCAACCTGCAGCCTATGGGACATGTTGTAGCCCTAAGGAACCAAGTGTCAGATGGAGATAAGGCCTTGGTGCATAATGCTGCCAGACAGGTATCATCCATTTCTTCTCATGTCCTCGGTGATGAGTTGAAGGCCTTTGCTAGACTACTGTATGCCATCAAAATAATGTTTTGCATAACTCCTAAGAGCAAAATTGATGTTGTCAGCATTTGTAAACATTTGGTCAGGTATGTGCCTGGGGTCACTTAACAGCCTCAGTGATGACACTGCATGTTTAGCAAATGACACTGCGAGACTAGAGTTTAGTTCAGACCATTAGCAGGCATTCCACCCTCTGTTTTTGGACTTCATTGCCAATCAGCAGATCATTTAGGCTGTTTCTGGAGTGCCAATGCTTGGTTAATAGCAGCTAGTACATCTTTCCTCAGAACTTTAGATATGGTGACTGTTCTGCATCCTGGAGTTAACTTGGCTCATTACCCTCCTCTACGCTGCAATTTCACCATTATCCCCTGTAATCCCATGTGAGTCTTCCCTTCACAAACTAGCTCATTCACTGTCCTCTCAGCCTCATTATCCTCTGTTCTCATGACAAGGAGCTCCAGTAGAACATAAAAGGGAGTCGTTATGAAGGAATAGAAAAAGTACTTCTCCCTTCCATCTTCACCATTTCTTTCAGCACTAAATTATGGAGAAGATCCATCATCTCATTGGTCTGCAATACATTAGCTTGTGCCTCACAATTCTTGTTGGGAGACAGCCATCACTTCTTCCCCTTCCCCTTTGGCATAGGGCAGGGGTAGGGAAACTTGGCTCTTCTATCACTTATGGACTTCAACTCCCAGAATTCCTGAGTGAGCCATAAAAGGTTCCCCATCCCTGGCCTACTGGTTTTTCAGTTGTGGGGGAAATCATTTTTTACTTGAATGGGACTGTTTAATATACAAATGTAGGGCATATAAAGAATATATGTATATTAAACAGTCCCATTCAAGTCAAAAATTGATTTCCCCCACAACTGAATAATATAAAGAATATGTAACAAACAAATGTAGGACATATAAAGAATATGCCCTACATTTGTATATTAAACAGTCCCATTCAAGTCAAAAATTGATTTCCCCCACAACTGAAAAACCAGTAGGCCAGGGATGGGGAACCTTTTATGGCTCACTCAGGAATTCTGGGAGTTGAAGTCCATAAGTGATAAAAGAGCCAAGTTTCCCTACCCCTGGCATAGGGAAAAGGAGCTAGGAGGGAGCAGGACACTCGTTAAAATCAGTGAGAATTACAGGGAAAAAAAATCTTGTGAATCTGCTGGGATTTGGAGGCATATCCAAAAAGAATTTGAACACTGATGCCAATACAAAAATTACTGTATGATGGCAAGCAAAAGATAGATATTGTTAAGTTTTCATAGCTCTGAGTCAATTTTTAGAAAGACATCAATACTGTAGTGCTAAAACCAAGATACACTTAATTTTTCTCACATTCCCATGATGACACTTCCTACAGTACTGTTAATGTTATTTCCACAGTATTATTTTTATACACCATCCACCAGGTGGCAATATGATATTAATAATGATTTATGCCCACTTCACAGAGAGGTAAAATAAGTATTGCCAGCTAGAAGAAAGACCTATATAATAATAACTTCTTTCTCTGAGAAATAGGTTTTCATTCCACAAGCACAACACCTTCTAAAGCCTAAATCATCTGAAATACACCCAAACCATCTGCTTTTTATATGCTTTACAATTTAAACCATATCAAAATAATGTCACTTTCTTTGTACAATCTAAGCATATCTGGGGATAATATCCGCTCTCATTGCATTTACATTATGCTAATACTCAAAGGTTTTCACTGGCATAATTGTATGTTGACTGAAACCTAATGCATAAGTGTGTGTATATATCAAATGCAATATGTAAAGCTGCGATTCATGCCTTTATTATTACTTTGTGCTTGTCCTAATGGTCCTTGAAAATTACTCAGAAAAGTGCAAAATACAGCAGCCCAACCAGCAAGGAAGAAGATTTAATAGCTTTAATTTACTCCTCTCCTTCAGTTGCTGCCTTGCTTGCTAAATCTAATTCAGGGTACTGGATACTTTAATGCTAGTCCCGGGCAGCAGCATTAGACAATGCAGCTCCCATTAATTAAATAAATAAATCCAAATCAGTAGTGTGTCCCAGGGTAATAGATACTCTTCTTTTGTGTGTGTGCCTTTGTCCAGCCAGTTGTCAGTTTTCTGACATGTCGGAAAGGATTTGCCATTGCCTGCTTCTTCTCAAGGCTGAGAAAGAGGGCCTGGCCCAGAGTCATCCACATTCTAGCTTCATGTTTTAAGCATGGCTCATCATCTCCCAGTTTGTAGCTTTAACCACTATACCTTGTAGGGAATTAGGGAGCCCTAAAGTATTCATCCCCTGCTCTCATTCTTAGTTCCCCATCTTTAAACTGGAAACCTTAGAAAGAGTTCTCGTGCATATGAGACGCAGACAATAAAGATAATTAAAAAGTTAGAAAAATAAACAAATAATAATATAATACTCTTTTATACTACTTTGGTGTGCTTAACTGATTTCTAGACTTTTTGAATAGAACTCACAGCAAAACCAGGTTAGCTCTTAGGCAGTTATAGATTCTGTTTTGCTTAATTCTGAGCACACGTTGGGACACACAAAGGGCTTTCACGCCATTTATGGATCAAACCAAGATTTTTGTGTATTTGTTGAAAGTGTCAAAATTGTAAATTTTAACACAGCAAACTTTAAACCTCCTGCTTATTTTGTCTTCCAAAGCACAAAAGTGTAAAATGTGCCAAAATTACAGATTCATGTTGCCTCTGAGTATACTTTAGGAATATAAATGAAAAGTTGTCAATGTTAATCAGGAAAGAATGCAGTCTCTCTTTTTTAGTAAGTATTTTGCCTGTAGATTTTCAGTAGTGTGGGAATATTAAAGTCTTGTTGGTTAATATGGGATGTTTTTGATGTGTCAGCTTTTTATGTCCTTCAGTTTAGTATAAATGGCAAGCTATGGAAATACCCCCACACCACACACATGCACAAGAATAATATTATAATCCATGGGGGTAATTTTTATATTATGTGTTATAAATTTTCTGAATACACCTGACAAGAAGGAAAGAAAAGGAGAAGGTATTTTTTGCTTCGTTTGGACAATTTCCAAAGATAAATCTATTGAGAAACAGAGAAGCAGCAATGTAGATCAAGAGTGGCCTAGGAAAACAGAAGAGTGCATAAAATTGAAGTTTCTTTGGGAAGCTGGTGAGATGATACTTCCTGAGCTCTAAATCATCCTTTCAAATAGCTTTTTATGGATTTCTGTTGTGAATCAATAAAAGTGAATAACCTAAATGCAAATTAGGGGTTGAAAACCTGCACACTTGATTGGTCCTTATACAACAACTTGGGATTGGGCCAGAACTAGCCCCTGATTGGCCACTTTTGGGACTTTTCTTATTGGTTAGTAGTTTGAACTTGTTGCACATTTTCATTGGTTAATAAGGCAGCAGCTAACCCTATAAAAGGGTTACTGTTGCCCATAGCGTTGCTCTGTTATGTTCTACTACTTTATTAAAGAGTTGAAGTCACTGGTCAGATGTCTGGTCTCCGTTATTCTCCATACTTAACACTGGCGACGAAGGTGGGATGCGGAGACCGAAGAGCTGACTAACCTACAGAGCAACTAACAGAGCACGTGGCCGAACACGCACCATCAAGGGCAACATGGCCAGCGGTGCCGTACCACCCGCTCCATTCAACCCAGAAACCGAAGACTGGGAGGCCTACATGGATCGGTTCCAGATGTTTCTGGAGACCAACAATTTGAAAGATGCGACAACCGGCAAAAAAAGAGCTATCTTTCTAACTCATTGTGGGCCAACCGTGTTTAAAATGGCAAAGTCGCTTGCCAAGCCAGCAGAGGTAAAAGAGATGGACTGGGACGTCCTCGAGCCGTTACTACGGGCTCACTACGCGCCCACCGTGCCAACCTTAGTAAGAAGACACGAATATTACCAGAGGGACCAACGGAAGGGCGAAAGCCTTGCTAATTACATCGTGGACCTCCGGAACCTAGGAGGCCTCTGCGGGTTCGCAGACTTAGAAGAAGCCCTCCGGGACCGCCTGGTTCTGGGCCTAGAAAACGGCGCGATCCAGAGCAAAATTATGGCTAAGGGGGACATCAGCCTCACCGATGCCCTTAAAGAAGCCTCGGCAGCGGAGGCGACCAAGAAGTCGGCAGCCCAAATGCGCCGCACCAACGCACCGCTACGTAAACTCGCCACTGATACCTCGCCTCGCTCGGAGAGACACCTGGTATCAACTCACCACGAAGACCTAGAGTCCCCGTCCGACAGCAATGAGGAAGAGGTCAACCGACTTCGAACGGAGAGAGACCAGTCCACACAACACTCATTGCGACCGTGTGCCGGTTGTGGAGCCAATCACCCACGATCCGGCTGCAAATTCCTCGACGCACTCTGCCGCCATTGCGGGAGACAAGGTCACATCGCAAAGGTTTGCAGAAGCAAACAGAACTCCAAACCCCGACGGGCCGAATTCCAGTCTTCTGGATTCTTCGGCACACACCGAGAAAAATTGAACCACTCCTACAGAAACAAACCGTCCACCACTTCCACCAGGCGTGAAGAAACCCGGCGGGAAGAGACCCACCAAACAATCACCATAGGCCACGCTACATCCCTTGATGCCGGGAAAATCCGAGTAAAGGTCGCCATCGAAAACAAACCTTGCGTGATGGAGGTAGACTCGGGATCTTCCCTCTCGATGGTATCGTGGAAAACGCTCCAACAGCTCATTCCCACGATCCGCCGCCAAGACCTTAACCCTCAAAGGGTTATACTCAAAGACTATCAGGGTAACAGAATTCCCGTTGTCGGGTTCCGCAAATTCCAGGTCTCATTCAAAGACCGCACCGTCGCACTACCACTAACGGTCGTGGATCGAGACAGGCCTAGTCTTCTAGGCCTTCAATGGTTCAGGCCGCTCGGGATCACTGTAGCCGGAGTCCACAAGGCCGAGAGCGTCGATTGGGAGGAAGCACTCGTGCAAGAATTCCAAGATGTTTTCGCGAACGGACTAGGCAAGTATAAGGGGACCCCAATCTCGTTTAACTTGAACCCTGAGATAGCACCCATCCGCCTTAAGCCGCGTCAGGTGCCGTTCGCCTTGAAGCCTAAAATCGACGAACAACTCGATAAACTAATAGCGCAGGACGTACTGGAACCCACCGACCATGCCCGTTGGGAAACCCCGATAGTGACGCCTATCAAGCCTGATGGGTCCCTAAGAATTTGCGGAGACTACCGGGCCACATTAAACCACGCACTGCAGCAAAGTGCTTATCCAGTACCGGTAGTGCAACATTTACTCCATTCCCTGGGCGGCAGGAAAGTTTTCGCCAAACTAGATCTAGCCCAGGAGTATCAACAATTGCCTGTAGACCCAACCACAGCCGAGGCGCAAACGATCGTAACACATAGGGGCGCATTTAAATGCAACCGGCTCCAATTCGGGGTAAGCGTCGCCCCTGGAATCTTCCAGAGTTTAATGGAAAGGATGTTACAAGGAATAAAAGGCGTTGTCCCATATTTCGACGATGTACTCATCGCCGCACCTAACAAAGACATCCTAGAAAAACGACTCAGAGAGGTTTTACGAAGATTCCAAAATGCAGGCCTCAGAGTAAAAAAAGATAAATGCCAGTTATGTACCGAAAAAGTAGAATTTTTGGGATATCTCCTGGACAGCCAAGGAATTCATCCCACCGAAGACAAATTACGAGCAATTAAAAAGGCACCCACTCCAAGGAACAAGGCAGACCTACAGGCGTTCCTTGGACTTATCAATTTCTATAATGTGTTTTTACCCCACAAAGCAACAGTAGCTGAACCATTGCATAGACTATTAGACAAAAAAGCAACGTGGGTTTGGGGGCAACGGGAACAACATGCTTTCCAACAAGTGAAGAAATTGCTAACTTCTGATTCAGTACTTATGCAGTACAACGAGACTCTGCTGCTCACTATCACGTGTGATGCATCACCTTTTGGGGTTGGGGCAATTCTGGCCCACGTGTTACCAAACGGAGCGGAGGCCCCCATCGCGTTTTTTTCGCGAACCTTAGCTAAAGCTGAACGAAATTATAGTCAGCTGGACAAAGAAGCTTTAGCTATTGTTGCTGCAGTTAAAAGATTTCATGAATATGTTTATGGCCGTGCGTTTACAATAATCACTGATCATAAACCGCTACTGGGGATCATTGCGGGTAATAAACCAACCCCGTATATATTGTCCCCCAGAATGACCCGTTGGTCTGAATTCCTGGCGGCCTACAACTACACCTTGCAACACCGCCCGGGGAAATCGATTCTCCACGCCGATGCATTGAGCAGAACACCGCTCCCAGACGCTGTTGTGGATCCAGCTCCAACCCTCTCAACACTACAGATCGAAGCTCTACATGCACCACCCTTGACGGCTAGAGACATTGCTTTTGAAACGAAACGTGACCCAGTTCTGCAACACATACTACGCTGGGTTGAACGGGGGTGGCCGACGGACCAAATAGCACCTGAATGGGCGCCCTTCAAAGCCCGCCAAACCGAGCTGTTTTCCCAAAAAGGCTGTATCTTGTGGGGCGATCGAGTCGTAATCCCTGGCAAATTGCAACAGACTGTTTTGGCGGCATTGCATGAGGGACATCCGGGTATTGTGCGGATGAAATCACTCGCACGCAGCTATGCTTGGTGGCCGGGAATCGACAAAAGAATCGAGGCCTGGCTCGCTACGTGCCAACGTTGCCAGGACGTCAGCAACGCCCCACCTAAAGCAAGCCCAACCGAATGGGAAACGCCGAGGGGACCGTGGTCCCATATTCATATTGACTTTGCGGGGCCTACCAAAGGTCACACTTTCCTGATTACTGTCGACGCCTATTCTAACTGGCTCAAGATTCATCGAATGCACACAACTACAACAGACTCAGTTATTAATAAATTAAACAGACTATTTGCCACACACGGGTTTCCGGACGTGTTGGTCTCGGACAACGGCCCACAGTTCACTGCATTGCCCTTTGAACAATATCTTGCTGATCGGGGCATCCGCCATGCGCTAACCTCACCCGCGCACCCTGCGGCGAATGGACGTGCAGAACGCATGGTACAATTTGTAAAAAAGACCCTTCACAAAATTGAATTTGGCAACATTGACAAGAAAATCAATCGAATTCTCTTGTTGCAGCACATCACGCCCCACAGCGTGACCAACAAAACACCCGCTGAACTTCTTATGGGGCGGAAAATATGATCGCACCTTGACCGGCTCCACCCCGCTTTCGCACCGGAAAAACCTTTCGGCTCCAGCAGCAAATGCCGGGAATTTAAGGTAGGCGATTTAATCTTTGCCAAAAACTTTTCCGGCGACCCGTTA